TTTGAGTAAGTAAAAAGAGTAATAACATTCATAAGTAAGTACAACTTGGGGTTGAAGCCCAAACCAAAATATGGTCAATAATTTATTCAATTATTTGTTTAAAACAGAATCTCCTTTCTTAGCACGGCCTCCACGTCCAAGGTTTCCTCCTCAACAGTCGTTCCCCTTACTAGTACCTGCGTGCAGTTAAACACTATATGCTCAGCATAAGCTGAGTGGCAAATAACCAGTAGACATATATAACATGTAAATATATTTGGGCCTTTTAAGTTCTTCAATTTATTTCAAAAAAAAACTTTTCGCATAATTAAAAATCATCGAGGAAATAATTTCACTTTGAATAGTTACTTGGGGACATTTGGAAAACTTTTGACTTACTAGGTTAACCGCAGATTAGAGACTAAGCCGTGACTAGGCTGGAACACCGCACTAGTCGATTCGTAGTTTTACTTCGGATACCTCCCCGTGACCTCGGGTCCAGTAATCAGAAGTGAGCCCTAGACCCACGGGGTCATCGTTGGGTTCTCGTGCGCACGTTGTGGTATGATTATTTATAGGCTCATCCACATGGACACGGTCCGGCCTTGAAAGTGGTTTGATTTACATCCTAGAACGTGACAATACCTGGTCAGGGTACGTCATTAAAATAAACTTTGAACCTTTACTTAGTCCACTAATTTGTTTGATTAATCTAGTAAAGTCATTTACATAAATCGTTTTTTTTCTGTCTGAATCATTCTAAAAATATCATTATAAGATGTCCCCTTTTTATTTTCTAAACATCATGCTACCTGATAGAAACATCAATTAAACATTCAAAGCATAAACAATTTACAACACTATTCATTGATCAAACATATACCACCTTTTTTTAAGGAAACAAAAATACCAATTTTTTTTATAATTATTGTCACTTACGACATGAAACAAAAACAATTAAATGAAATAGACAAAAAATTTACTATGACATGAACACAGTTTCATCTAGGACATAAATAAAAGTTTTGTATATATTTATATAAACCCCTTGTTATTATTTTTAAACCTTCGGCCTTCTTTATTTATAAGGCCAAATTGTTTTTTTTAAAGAAAACAAACTGTTTTTTTTACTCTAGTTTTTTTTTTTTTTAAAATCCCTGGCCTTCTTGTTTAGAAAACCAAAATGTTTTTTTCCTTTTCTTTTTTATACTCTAGTTTTTTTTTTAACCCACGGCCTTTTTGTTTATAAACCAAACTTTTATACGGAGTATTTTTTTTTCAAACTACTACCGTATATATATTAATCATTATAATAACCAACCCTTTTTTTTGCTATCATTTTCTTCCCTTAACCTTCGGTTATGATAATTCTTTTTTTATTTTAAAAAAATACTAATGATAATAATAACAACAACAATAATAATGATGATAATAAGGAATAAAAAGTTCATTCTTTATCCATTACCGAAAGTGCGCAATTACACTTTTCTTTTTGTTTCTTTTTTTTGAAGCGAAGTGAAATTTATGTGCAACATGTATATATATTTTTATTATTATGATTATTATCTTTCTATTTTAATTTATTATCTAAAGGAGTAAATTCATGTAAAAAAAGTAAAAGGAAATGCACAAAAATATATTAACATGAAATATATATCTAAAGGTTAGGGTCAACGGCACACCTTTGATATTAGTTAGACGAAATAATAGATTGATGAATGACGATGTTGCAAGATGATCGATCTCGTGATAGCATCGATCCCCCACGTCTCTCTCTCCCTCAACAAAGCCACAAACAGTTCTTAATCACCTATTCTCTAAATCTATACATCCTTTTCTTTTCTTGATGTGGTCATGAGTTTCTCTTATTACGAGAGTCTATTTATAGTGAGGAAGGAGAATTCTAGAAAGTGAAGTGGAAAGTGAAGAGATAACATATTTACATTAATTAAATAAAATATTAAAGTATAATTAAAATAAAAATGACCATATTCATTACCTCCATTATGAGGTTAATAAATTGGGAGGGAGTCGAATTTTTCCCTTGTGTTAGGCGTGATGTTTTAGAGAGGAAAACCAATGGTTTTCTTGGTCCGTTTGTTTAATTACATGTCCGACTTCCAGAGTTTCGATTATTAAATATTTTTGGAAGAATATAAAACTTATACCGTTAAGTTCCATATTTTTCACACATCATTTTAACATAATTTGTTTGTCAAGAAAATAGGTTCACTTGAACAAACTATATTTTTCAGATAGTAGAGAACCAAAACTAATTTTATTGCTTTTACTCATCCCCTCTAACAAATTAATCATTAAAGCTTGTATTCTAATTTTTTTTCAATAGAATAGTGACATATTTTTAAGGAACGTTTTTTTTTCATACTTAAATTTCAAACATTTTTTTTTCAATTTTTTAAAATTTTATTTTGTAGTAAAAAGTTAAAAAATTCTAGACCAGTTTTCAGGACGTTACACAATATCATCAGTGATATTGAAAAAGGAGTTAGAACTAGGAATAATTACAATCTTTGTGCATATTATGCATTCGTTAGTCAATTTGAACCTAAGAACGTAGAAGATGCATTAAAAGATAGTGATTGGATTATTTCCATGCAACTAGAGCTAGAGCAATCCGAACGCAACAAGGTTTGGGAATTACTCGAATGACCAACAAACCGACCTGTTGTGGGCACCAAATGGGTTTTTAGAAACAAGCTTGACGAAAATGGTGCTATTGTCACAAATAAAAGTCGACTTGTTGCTAAAGGCTATAGCCAAGTTGAAGGACTTGACTATGATTAAACTTTTGCTCCAGTTGCTAGGCTTGAATCCATTCGTATGTTATTAGCTTTTGCAAGTGCTCTTAATTTCAAACTCTTTCAAATGGATGTAAAAAGTGCTTTTCTAAATGGATGGTTAAAAGAAGAAGTTTACGTTGAGCAACCTCCCGGTTTTGAAAATCCTGATTTTCCAAATCATGTTTTAAACTCCATAAGGCTCTTTATGGACTCAAACAAGCTCCTAGAGCTTGGTATGAGAGGCTTACCGAACATCTCATCTCTCATGGATTTGCAAAAGGAAAGATCGATTCCACACTTTTCGTCAAAACAAGAGGAAAAGATCTTATCATAGTGCAAATTTATGTTGATGATATTATTTTTGGGTCAACTAATGAAGCCTTTTGTAATGAATTTTCAGGAATTATGAATAGCGAATTTGAAATCAGTATGATGGGTGAATTAAATTTCTTCTAGGACTTTAAATCAAGCAACTTGAAGATGGCATCTTCATTAGCCAAACCAAGTATGCAAAAGCGCTTGTCAAGAAATTTAATCTTGAAGATTCAAAAACGTTCCCAACTCCAATGAGCACATCCTTAAAGCTCGATAGTGTTGAAAGAGGAAAATCGGTAAGTGAAAAGAAATATCGTGGTATGATCGGTAGTTTGCCTTTGTGCTCGTTTACAATCATCACCTAAAGAATCACATCTAAACGCCGTCAAGCGAATAATTCGTTATGCCAAAGGAACTACCAATATGGGTTTATGGTATCCCAAGAATATAAATTTAAGCTTGATAGGTTTCGGTGATGCTAACTTTGGAGGGTGTCATATTGATCGGAAAAACACCAGTGGCACATGTCAATTTATAGGTCATGCACTACTGTCTTGGTCGTCCAAGAAGAAACATTCCGTCGCCCTAACCGCCGAAGCGGAATACGTGGCTATGAGTAGTTGTGTTGCTCAAATCTTATGGATGATGCAAACACTTGGTGACTTCAACCTAAAATTATCAAAAGTGCCCATTTTCTATGACAACCCTAGTGCTATAAATATTTCAAAAAATCATGCGTTGCACTCTAGAACGTAACAGAACATATAGAAATAAGACACCATTTCATTCGTGATCATGTTGCTAAAGGTGATATTCAAATTGAATGTGTAAATACGCTTGAACAACGTGCTGATATTTTTACAAAACCATTGGATAAAAAATAATTTATACATATTTGTTGAGAAATGAGAATGCTTGAATTAAAATAATTTATAGGTTCCCTTTATACTCATATTATGTTTTGAAAATCAAATTGATCATTGCATATTGCTCAAAGTCCAAGGGAAGAGGAAATGGTCGAAAAGGTAAGTGAAACGGGATCTCAATAAGTACATCAAGCACCAAACGGTAGACCCTACCGTTAGAAATGGTAGTAGGTATCATCCGGAAGAAGGACACTCAGGTACTCAGGGCATCATCCGGGAGCCCGTACCGATTGCCACCCTCAGGTACTGACCGGAAGAGGAGGTGCTCAGGTACTTAATGTATGATCCGGGACTCTGTACCGCTAGAATGACTCAGGTACCGATCAGAAGAACTCAAGCATAGCCCTTTTATGTCTATTTCGGTACGGCCTACTTCTACACCTGTCCAGGTACCGACCGTTTCTTCGTAGGTACACGTCTTTCTCCAATGTCACAGTACCCACTACCGTTACAAGTTAGTAGGTACCGACCGCCTCATCGTGTAATAAAAACCCTACCCCTCCTATCCGGTCGCCACTTTCACACCTCCAACTGCACTCTTCCGTCTGCATCTCCCTCTTTCCTCTGCGTGTCTCGCAGACCCATCAGAGCTCAGCTTTGACCTCAATTTCGCTTGTTTCTCGGCCTATGGCCTATTTTATGTGCAACCCATTTATTTCTAATTCCTAGGCCCGTTTTGACTTCTGTTCGTTTTGGGTTTCAGCCACCCTTGTTTTGTGTGGCTTCGCGATGCACTTTGGAAGTTCACGCGACCCTTTGTGCTCGCTCGACAGTTTTTAAAAGAATCAAGCACATAACTTGCAAAAAAATGATGAGAAGAACAAAAACGGGTGAAACACGAGGACTTCCCATGGGGTCACCCATCCTAGTACTACTCTCACCCAAGCACGCTTAACTTCAGAGTTCTGATGGGATCTGGTACAAGTGCTGGTATGATCGCACCCATCATGTGTTGCACGTATGATATTTTTATGTTAGCCTTGGTTGGCTAAGTCTCATGTTTTGATGTTAACAAACAATATAAGAGCTTAACGTTTGTTTAAGTGTTTCAGGAAAACAAGAATCCATTAAGATTCGGTACTCAAGAATGAAGTCGAAACACTAAACTAGCGTAGAATATAGGTAGAAACCAATGTAAGGATATGACTTTATATACTTATATTCACAAGCTCAAAAGCACTCACAAAATATGTTTAAAACCATCCCATAAACATTTTCAAATATCTAAAAGGTTTTAAACTCAAACACGAAGGATTAAGGGAATTTTGGAAAAATCAGAACAGAGCCACGGTACCCCCCTACCGTGTAAACGGTACCTGGGTACCGACGGTAGGAAGAGACGGTTGGCACAACCCGTCCTAACCAGGTACCGCCAGATCCGAATGGATTTTTAGTGGAACACGGTACCGAGGTACCGCCACTCACGGTACCCCCTACCGTACGCACGGTTCCATGCTACCGTGAGGACGGCACCGGCCTACCGTAACCGTTGGGTTACTGTTCCTAATTTGTGATTTTGAATTAAATCAACCCTAATCACCTCCCAATGGCTAATTAACATCTTCCACTTTAAATACAAGCCTAATCCTTCATATTTCTTCAAGAAACAAAGCTCCAAACATCCTACCTTTATATTTTAAGTGTGTTCATTCTTTTATTCATTATTTTCAATATTTTGGCTATTTTAAGAGCCTTAAATTCCTGAGTTTTATACACACACTTTGAGCTTGGTTTCTAGTTATATAATCTCATATTCATAAGTTTATATTGTATTTTTTGAGAGAGCATAATTTCCTTCTATACCGGCTAAGCTTTTGTTCTTCATTTTTATATTCTAGCCGTTGTGTAGAATCCTCTTTTGTGTTCTTCAAACACATCTTCTTACGGTCGAGAATAGCTGTTAAATTCTCACATTGTAACGGTTAAGGATAGCCGTATAAATCCTTGGGTAAAGGTTAAAGGATAGCCTTTGAAATCCTTGGGGGAACGGTAGAAGATAGCCGTTAAATCTTCGTTGTAAATGGTTCGAGATAGCCGTGGTGAAATCTCGAAGTGAATCCTATTGGCAAGGGTTTTTTGCCAAAACTAGTGCGGTGCTTTGCCGGAGTTCAAGAGGCCGGGACTTAGTGGATTCGGAAATCCTTGAGGAGGAGCCTCGAGGTACTGGAGTAGGGAGTTCCTGAACGAGTATAAATTCGGTGTGCATTTTACTTTACGCTTTTATTTCTGTGTTTTATATATTGCTTCCGCATTTGCCAACACCGTTTTTATCAAACTCCGAAAAGATTTTAAACGCCTTATTCACCCCCCCCCCTCTAAGGCGTGGGCACAACGCGTAAACCGACTAACAATTGGTATTAGAGCAGTTTCGTAGTTGAAAGTGCTTAACCGCATCTACGACAAAGATCCACTTGTTGTGTCCCTTTTTAAATTTGAAGTTTTAAAATCTCAAAATTTTATTATTTTCTTTAAATTCATATTTTTTGAAAAATGGCCCAAATGGACTCTCAAAGCATCCACCGCCCTCCATTTTTCAATGGCCAAAACTACTCCTATTGGAACATGCGGATGGAATACTTTATTCAATCAATAGATTTTGATTTATGATTGAATGTACTTTACGGGCCATTTGTGCCAAGAAATGGTGATTTTGCAGGTTTGTCTTCGGAAGACAAGAGGAAGCTAATAATGAATGCAAAAGCAATTAACATTTTGCATTGCTCTCTTGGTCCCGACGAATTCGCACGTGTTTGCTCTTGCAAAACGGCTAAAGAGGTGTGGGATCTACTCCAAGCTACACATGAAGGAGACACCTCAACAAAACAAACCATGCTAGCCCTCGAGAATTCGTAATACGAATCCTTCAAGAAAGGGTCAAGTGAGACAATCCAAGACATGAACAAGAGGTTCAACGAGATTGTCAATTAATTGAGTAAGTTGGGTAAGACGTATACTACTTCCGAGCTTAATACGAAAATTCTATTTTCTTTACCTAAAGAATGGCATAGTAGTATCGTAGATTTATTACCCAAATGTGATAAGGCTGAAACCGCCCACATTTGGTCTTCCTTGTATTCTCACGAACTTTTGTTGAGAAAGATCAAAGAGGAAGATATATGTGAAAATCCCAAACTTACCAACGCCTTCAAAGCTTCCAAAGACTCGTCAAGTGAAGAATCAAGCGAGTCAAGTGATTCAAGTGTCTCAAGCTCCTCGGAAGAGTCAAATGATGAGGAAGATGAAGAAAAGGCAATGAGAATGAAGTATACGGATTTCCTCAAATGGAAGAAGTATGTGAAGAGGAAAAAAGTATATTCAAAGCCGAAAAAAGAGCGGCATAAGCCAAAGTAAGTTTTTTTCTTAATTATTGGGATATGATATTTTATTCGTTTTTAAGTGATTTCAAAAATAAAACTGTATCCCATATGTGCTTTTATTTATTTTAACCTTGGTTTGCATGATTAAAATTTCTTAAAATTCATCTTTAAAATCATGCATTTTTGAAAATGATCCCTAAAAATCCCTGAAAAATAAAGTTTTTGTTAGAAATAAAGATAATACGAATATCGTTATGAACAAGTGATAGAGATATACCTTGATAGCACAAATCAAAGATCAAAGTGTAATGGAGAATCAAAGGAGAAGCAATGCAATTCAATGAGATCAATAGACTAAGGAGAAGGATGTCTCATTTCAACATATGGAGCCTCTATTTATAGGCTTACAAATGAGAAAAACAAAGGTCTAACTTAGACATGGAGAACATCAAAAGACATTTGTACATAACACTCCCCCTTGGATTTTGGATGTTCACCATTTAGGTAGACTTGAGCTTAAGACACTGCCTCATTAAAACCTTGCCAAGAAAAACCCAATGGGACAAAAACTTGGACGAAGGAAAAAGAGTACAGTGCTTATAATGCTCCCCCTGGACATGGCAAAAGATCCTTGAGTTGACGCATTCCAATACCATTGATCATCTTCCTAAATGTCGTGGTTGGCAATGCCTTTGTGAACAAATCCGCAAGACTATTGCATGACTGTATCTGACGAACCTCAATGTCTTCACTTTTCTGAAGCTTGTGCGGATAGAAGAGTTTTGGTGATATGTGCTTTGTCTTCGTAGAGTAATGATGGAGCCTTATTCAAAGATAATCCAGAAGTTTCTCGAATGTGATGAACCATTGACCTTAACCATATGCATTCTCGACTCGCTTCATATAGCGCCATTATCTCCGAGTGGTTTGATGAGGTTGCAACTAGTGTTTGCTTTACAGATCTCCATGATATTGCAGCACCACCACAAGTAAAAACATATCCACTTTGTGATTTACCCTTATGTGGGTCAGAAAGATAGCTAGCATCAGCGTAACCAACAACTTGTGATTCCGAACTTTTCGAATAAAACAGGCCCATATCGATTGTTCCACGAAGATAACGTAAGATATGTTTAACACCATTCCAATGTCGTCGTGTTGGTGCTGAGCTATATCTTGCCAACAAATTAGCTGAAAAGGCAATATCAGGTCTTGTACAATTTTCAAGATACATTAGCGCCCCTATAGCACTTAAATAAGGTACTTCCGGACCTAAAAGTTCTTCATTATCTTCTCGAGGGCGAAAAGGGTCCTTCTTTACATCTAATGATCGAACAACCATGGGACTGCTCAATTGGTGTTCCTTATCCATGTAAAATCGTTTTAGGACCTTTTCCATATATGTTGATTGATGGATAAAAATCCCATTTGATATATGCTCGATCTGCAGACCGAGACAAAACTTGGTTTTCCCAAGATCTTTCATTTCAAACTCTTTCATTAAATAGTTTGCAGTCTTTATTAACTCTTTTAGTGTTCCAACAAGGTTTAGGTCATTTACATATACTGCTATGATAGCAAATCCAACTTCAAATTTCTTGATGAAAACACATAGACAAATTGGATCATTTATGTAACCTTCTCTAACAAGGTATTCACTAAGACAGTTATACCACATTCTACCAGATTGAATCCGTATAATGATCTCTGTAACTTGATTGAGAATAACTCACAAACTTTCTGATTGTTTGTTTCAGAAATTTTGAACTGAGTACTTTATTCATCATATGTCGGGGTATTTATACATACACAGGGAGGAGGTAAAGTCTAGGTAAACAAGGTAATGAGATATTCTAAATAATAAGAGTAATATATCTGCCATATTTAACACTCCCCCTCAGATATATCATCGTTCATTATACACTAACCACATTATGCTACAGGATAATGTTGGCTAGGTTTTTCAGGACCTATATTAACTGATACTGCAAGATCAGTTATGCTGCCTCGTGCTCGCTTAGTCGACTTCCAAGAAAAAGTCTTATCACCATATGTGAACACATTACCAATCTAATTTCACCCTTAAAATTTGGTATTACAGGAACAAGTACTTCTTCGCCCTTTTCTGGGAGGTGATTAGAATGTTATGAATATATATATATATATATATATATATATATATATGAATGAACAACCATGGGTATGTTCAAAGGATGAGCTGTATCCATATTTCAACGTGTTAACATCTTCTGGATGTAGTTTAACTTATGGACAAATGTGCCATCATATAGGTGTTTAAAATACAATCCAAAGTATAATTTATGTCATGTCAAGATCTTCCATCTCAAATTCTCTCTTCAAGAGTTCAACAGTTTTTTTTGTTTTCTCTATCTCTTCAGGAGATCTAATGATATTTATACGTCGACGTAAACTACTATAATAAAGAATATTGAGAGAGATGCTTGAATGACAACACATAGGTTAATTCAAATTTGTATCTTTCTTTTTCGAGATATTCACTGGGTCAATTGTACCACATATGACCTGATTACTTAAGACCATTCCACGATCTCTTCACACATATCTCAATGTATTATTTTTATTGCTTCTGGCATTTTGAATCCTTCAGGGATTATTTTCACATAGATGTCGATTTCAAGTGTCCCTTATAATTATGTTATAACAACATCTATATCATTTATTTGAAGTCCTTTTGAGATTGCGAAGCCAATAAAAATTCTATAAGGATATTGCATCCACTAGTGGAGAATACGTTTCTTCATAATCAACTCCTGAGATTAGGCAAAAAGCCTTGCCTTACGTTTCCTCATATCGCACAATCTCATTCATTTTATTTCTGTTTATTACAGACACCCATTTTAAACCTATTGGTTTGACGTCTATGGGTGTTCAGACTTCAGGTCCGAAAATATTCCGTTTATTGAGTGACTTATATTCGACCTTTAGGGTCTTTTTCCATTTGGCAAATCATTTATGTACTATCTACATGTACTCTTCTTTGAGTTTTAGGCATGTAATCTCTTTTATTTATTACATCCATTGCCATAGCATATGCAAGAATATCATTAACATGTGTTTCATTTTGGTTCCATATTGTACAGTATCGTACATAATTAATAGAGATCTCATTTTCTTTCGGTACCGATGTTTCTTTAGGAAACTTATTCTTCTGGAATCGTATTAGTCTCTTCTAGGACATTTACCTCTTCTAGGGTTTCATTTTCTTCTGGAATAGTATTAGTCTTCTTCTAGGACAGTTACCTCTTCTGGGGTTTCACTCATAATCATGTATGTGGTTTCACAAATAACATTTTTGCTATATATCTTTATTTTCGTGGGTTCTTATCTTTGAAACCAATTATTCTCCCACATAAATTGTTCACTAGTCACTTCTGCTACTACCTTAAATCGAGCGATGCATAAGATGCTGGTATGTGTAACTTTGTCACTGCTCATATCTGTGAATGCATCGAGTAATTCATTTGCTCTTCTTTGCAAATCAGACTTCAAAATTACATTGACCACTTCAGGAGTCGAAAATTTACAATGATGCATTTCATATAATTTCTGGTATTACCAGTCTTTCATTATTCTTGTCTCCCCCTAAGAATGGGAATATTTCATCATAAAATTGACAACCAACTTACTTTGATGTTAATAAATCTCCTATCAAAAACTCTAAACATTTAACAATAGACGAGGAGTTATAGCCAATGTCAATACACAGTCTTCTACATTATATTAAATGCATTGTGGGGGAGAGGAGATATAAGGCACCTAATCAAATAATCAAATATTGTGAGAAGGGACAAACTTGTTTCTCTTCAGGAGATATCAAGTGTAAGAAACTCAAAAATTTGAAGATTTGACATTTTATTTATAGGGAAGGATTAATAAAAATGAACATGTGTATATAAAATACATGCGAAGGAGAACTTCAGGTTCTTCTTATATGTTGGAACTACAGGTTTCTTATAATAAGACCATTTTTTATGGTTGAGAAAATATCGTTATGAAATAAACTAAGAATAAACAAAGATAATAAAGAGATATACCTTGACATGGAGAAAATGGGTAATCAGGAAACTGTGCTGATAACGTGTTAGAAATATCATGTACAAATGTCTTTTGATGTTCTCCATGTCTAAGTTAAACCTTTGATTTTCCCCTTTGTAAGCCTATATATAGAGGCTCCATATAATGAAATGATCTAACCATCTCTTTACTCTCTCATTGCATTTCTTCTCCTTTGGTTCTCCATTGCACTTTGTCCTTGTATTTGTGTTATCAAGGTATATCTCCATTGCACTTTGTTCTATCGTTTTGTTCATGACAATATTCATATAATCTTTATTTCTAACACGTTATCAGCACGATACTCTAAAAATTCTAATTTTCTAGAAATTACTCCTCTTCATATCTTGTCCTTGTTCATATTCATGTTATAGATATATACATATACATATACACTAATTTACTTTAGTTTTTCAAGTGTACTTGTAGATATATTGAATCTAAAACTCCTAAATATATTGGAGAATTGGCATGTGAAGCCTACATAATGTGTTAAAATTGATGGTTATATGGTAAAACTCAACCTGAAGCTTGAGTACATATTATGTCGGGAAAAATATCATTCCTTCAGTTTTTTTTCTCTTTTACTAGTGAACTTGAAGTTCATATCTTGATTTTATATGCTCGAAGCATTAATAGTGAAACTCAAACCTGAAGATTTGAGTATGCCACATGAAAATAAATAAATAAATAAATAAATAAATAAATAAATAAATAAATATATATATATATATATATATATATATATATATATATATATATATCTCCCTATTTCTATAAGCGCCTATCTCCGTTACCTTAGGATTTTTCCCGTTTAATTTAACGCCTCACTCCCACTATCCGTCTATACTAAATAGCACGAAAAATGAAGGCTATTGGTCAGTTTGCCGCCCACCGCCCCACGACAATGCCTTCTTCACCGTTCACCGCCCCACTCTCGAGAACTATCCTCATATATCTTCCCTTGGATGCATTTGGCTCTTCTATCACCGGCATCTACATCAAAATTGCTCAGCTTCCTTCGGCAACCGCTAGGTAAATATCCCTATCCTTTTCCAGTTATTCCTGCAGTACCTTCAGCTAACACTCGTGCCCAAGCTTGGTTTCCCATAGTCATTACATGAAAACTGAAATTATAACACACGGAATTGTTCGTAGCACATTGAAAACTTAAAGAACTGATGAATTCGATCTCTTATTATTGCTTGACCCCAAAACTGACCCAAAAAAAATTATTCCAGTCACTCTAAAAAATTTTGCCTCAGCCGCTGATTTTCGATTTTCCCCTCAAATTTCTAGACTCGAAAAAATGCATTAGGTTACCTAGGGTTTCGAATGTTCACAGTTATTAGATTTGATGAGTACACAGTTTAAACTTGATTTAGAGTAATTTTGTTATAATGAATTGATTAAAAAACTTTTAGAAGATACCCATCTCAATCTGCATGTGACCATTAAACGAGCATGAATGAAATTATGTTCAAAGAATGGCTTTGTTCACCTGTAATTAGAAATACTCTAATGCTTCAGAGTCATACTACATACTCCGTAGTATAGTATAATAAAAAGTGGACAACAAAATTAATATTTGTAATGCTTTCTGAAGTCAAAACTGTCCCTTTTATGAAGCATTAAAAACTTAAATCAAAGTTTGGATGTGGAAAAAATATAAAAGAGTGTACTTATTTATGACTAAATAGAGTAAATAAGTCCATTAAATAGTGATTTCACATACAGAGTATAGGTGCTTGCCTTATGTCTGTATATGCTTGCCTTATGTCTAAATAGAGTCATAAAAACTCCCAACCAATAAAAACTTTGTATATGTTTTAATCAAAGCATAAGGCAAGCAAATTACTTTCTACTTCAGTTACTGTGTTATTTACTCTATTACTGTAAACTTTGTATATGCTTGCCTTATGTGTGTCATCCATGGTTTAAGTCCATATTTGGAACAAACTTTCACATAGAGATACAAACTGAAATCATACATTTATTTCTATATGTGTAAGTGACATTTATGTGTTCTTTGGTTATGTGATTGCATATATAACATAACATGAATATCTTCAATAACATCAGACTTAGTAGGCAAATGAATGCTGCGGAACATCGCCATTTGTAAATGTAGCTATGCTCTTACACTTATTTTTCTTTGGCCATAATTGGATGCAATGCAATCACTGCATCCAGATACCTCTTAGGTTGTTTCTTTTCCCTATTTTACCATCGGTTACCTCACATGATTCTACATATCCTTTACATCTCTCTTCAACATCCAATTATGTGTTTCCAACCCAAGAGAACATACCTTAAATATGCACCATTTATTTGTACACATATTCCTTAATGTGTGAACTGTGAACTCTAATTAACCAAATAATTTAACCTGAAAGCGTCATTCCCCAAGAAAGCACATACACTTTTTACATGACCTATGTAGTAAGTATCTAAAAAACTCATAAAAATTGAAATTCACGAAAAAATGAAAATGGCATAGTACTTTTTTTTCTTAAAAAGAGATAGAGAAGATGAGGAATGGAAGAACCTGCAATGTTCCTTAGCTGGTTTAGATCCCACCAGGATGAATGGGTCTGAATTTGTGCCTCCAATCTTCTCTGGGCTTCAATGGCTTTGAGCTGGAGTTAATGATTGATAGATAATTATTTCCCACTAAATTTGTTTATGTAACTATTCTGAACTCAAGTAACAATTTAAACATCTATTTTGACTTCTCTAACACTATTTGCATACCTTATTCAAAATAAGTTCCCAATGAACTCTGAAAATACAGTTTAAGGCCTATGGGATTCATAGGTCGATGTATTCTCTCCTATACTCTTGATGAATTGAAATGCTCAGTGTGCATATAAATTCATTTCCTTTTCCTTGGTTTGGATTCATAAATAGAAGTGTGCCTAAGATATATGGAATATCATGCGCTATTATTCTAGTCTAGATTTTAAAGTACACAGATTTTAGTGAAAACTGTAGTCTTTCTTACTCCATAAAGTACTATTAGGCCCAAAACAACATCTCGTCTTATAATCTGGCTGTAGATGTGTTTTGTAAATGGGAAGTTCAAAAAATGATTTAAGGTAAAACCATTAATCTGCGTTCAACTATACATGAATTTGTAAAATGAAGAAAGTCTTTTATTAATTCCATTTTTGCTTCTCCTCTTTTAAAAGGGAAATTCTCCTACTTACCACCTAACTTCTAAACAATGTACTTTCATTTTTATCTTTAGAACGATTAACTTATTTTAGTTTTTAATTATTTATGCAGGTGACTCTTATACTGTTTGTGGTCTTTCTTGATCTCTTCAAGTTACAATTTAACTTACTTGGTATGTTCACACACTTTAAAATTATGCTTGTATTAATTCTTGTTTTTTTAAAAGGTGCTTTCTAAGTAGTTCACCCTTCTTGGAATTTAGTCAAAGCCTTGATATATATACTCTCTAAAATTTGCGTTCTTCGAATGTTTAATATGCAATGCATGCCCTGTAATTGCTTCACCATTCTTGATTCCTTACATCCATTCATTCACTGTCTTTATTGGTTGGGTATTCTTCATCTACTTGGAGTCTTCATCCATCCATATATATATATATAATGTTAATATTATAGACTTATTATTTGTGATTATGTAATGTGCTCTAATTTATCATTATGTCTATAGTTTTACTCTAATTGTAACCTCCGCTATAATAATAATAATAATAATAATAATAATAATAATGCATAATAAATAATAATAATTGGGACTCTTCAAGTACCTAAGCCGTTTTTATTAAAAAAACTATTATTCAATCAATACACATTAATTTATTTATTTTAATCTACTAATTTGATATATGTGTATATGTGCGTTTTAAAAAAATTTACAATTAGATTATTTGATAAATAAAATTGTCTTGTGTAGTGCAATTTACATATACATTTGTTTTTTTCAACTAGTAGATCCTGGTAATGAATTACAAAAAAAAACATGAAATATATGACTAAAGGTTTGGATCAACGAGCCCACATGGTTCTAAATAATAATAATTTATAATTTATTTTCAGTAATGGGTAACCTCACCAAGCTTGAATTTGCTGCCCTTAACATTTCCGGAAAGAACTATTTGACATGGGTTCTTGATGTTGAGATTCATTTGAATGCAATGAACCTTGGAAATGCTATTAAGGAAAATGGCGGGGCTAGCGAACAAGAAAAAGCAAAAGCAATGATTTTCATACGTCATCATCTTCATGAAGGCCTGAAGTCCGAATATATTGGGGTCAAAGACCCTGCGACTCTTTGGAGTGACTTGGAGGAGAGATACAACCATCTAAAAAGTGACCCTTGGTGCTCGCTCGACAGTTTTTAAAAGAATCAAGCACATAACTTGCAAAAAGATGATGAGAAGAACAAAAAGGGGTGCAACACGAGGACTTCTCAGGGGGTCACCCATCCTAGTACTACTCTCTCCCAAGCACGCTTGACTTCGGAGTTCTGATGGGATCCGGTGCATTAGTGCTGGTATGATCGCACCCTTCATATACTGCGCGTATGGTGTTTTTATTCCTAATCCGCCGGTATTGCTCATAGTTTAAG